ATCTGACTCAACGCATGTTATTCATTTAATGGGTGTATGCCCGTAGGTGTATTTATAATATACCTTCTATTGTGAGCTTGTTAGGTTTTTTTATACAAAAAATCCAAAAGGAAATATACAGGTATTAAAAAAAAAATGAACCAACTTGTAAATATCAAAATTTATGAAAATCAAAAAGATAGGCTGTACAAAAAAACCCCAATAGATTCAAAAGTAAAATGCAAGAAAATAACATGTATATGCATTATATGATTAAAAACTTCAAATTTGCAAGCATTACAAAAAAATAAAATCATTAGATCAATAGTGTGTGATTCAAATTTGATGAGAACTACACTAACCAAACGAGAGTGGCAGATTACAGTATTATTGTTTTCAGTTATATATTTTAACAGTTAAATAACAACCACTAATTCGAGACCACTTTTCCAAATGCCTAGTAACAATTTTTAATCTTTTAAACACAAAGCTAGCCCTCTAATTAGAGACCAACCCCGAGACCACCCCAAATTTTCAGGTCCCAAAGGTGGTTTCAAATTGAAGGGAGAACTGTAATTCAAAATTGAACAAGAAATTAAGCAATAAAAAAATATTTAAATAAATTTGGTTTTAAATAAAATTACAATAAAATAATGGACAGGTTAAAAAACAAGTTCCAGCAATCCAACATCATAAAGATCAAAAGAAGAAAGTGTTTATGGCAGATATTGCATCTGTCACATCATGAAGATTAAAATTAAAATTTGAAAATATGTTTAGGGTTGGGGTATTACTGTTTCACTTTAGTAAATCATAATGATATTAATCTATGTGAAATATTTAAAGCACTTAATCTGTGAAATTTAAAGCACTCTAATATCATCTCTGTAAAAGTTAAAGTACTCTAATATTTCTGTCTGTCCTTACATGATTATTTTTCAACCAGTCAAGTTTTGAATTCCTCTTCAGCATATCAAACAATAGCAGCAGAGTCCATGCATTGCAGGGGTAGAATAAGAAAAAGTTTGAAGCAAGTAGTATGAACAAACATTGAGAATTCTAGGAAGAATATTGCAAACCTTGATAGTCTTTAAGAGGATCATACAACAAGCAGAGTACTGCAGAGTAGAACAGAACAAGAGGTGAGGAAATAACTAGAATAGGAGATTACACTAAATTTTTTTATTACATTCAGTTTTTTTCATTATTATTTTTTTTAATTTGAAATGCATTTATTTAATTTGTTTATTTATAGTATTTTAATATCAAGTCAATTGTAGGTGTCGTAGCAGCATAAAATCAAAAGCAATATGAAAATTTCTGGGTGCATTTAAAATTATAGCAATAGTTATTAACATATTTTTTTCATTTTTTGAGCAAGAAGAAACTTACTTTGTCTCAATATTAATTATAATAATAAATTGTAAAGAGTATCTGGAACACCTAATAGATGACTCTTTTTTTCTATTTTGTTGATATCAGAACACAGATGAGGAGGAGGCGGAGCTTAGTATTTACTGTGTCATCTGGTTCGCCGAGAACCATCAGACATTTTCAAATATGTTTAAGAAAGGTATGATCAAATATTTGATTTGTTAGTTAGAAATCTTTCTTTATTCTGGATACTCAGTATTTTTACACTGTTCTTCCCTAAGGTCCAGGGTATTATTTGTTTGTTGATAAAACTAATCATAGGGTCAATCTTGAGTGATCATGATATACAGTTCTCTGTAATACATGATTACACACTATTGTGTAGTGGATAACAGTAGAACTATACTACAAAGCACAGACCCTATATACAATATATATATACACATCTTATAGGGTCTGTGTACAAAGTAAGCCACAAAAATGAATAGCAATTATTATACTATACAGACATCTATACAGATTTAGGTGATTTATTGTCAAAGTAAACCATAAAGATATATAAAATGGAATTGGTTTTAATGCAGGTTAATATTTACAAATAAATGTCAACAAAAGCTGAGCTTGCTGTTTGTAGTTGATTCCACAATCAACTATTTAGGGGGTTGGTAGAGGGCGCCACAATTACCCAACGCACAGAGCCATAGATAGAAAGAGTTGCGACATTGAGAATTTAGAAGCCATTTTGTTTCATACGC